CACTTGCTCCAGCGGGCAGTGGCGGTTACTTGCTGGATTCACTTGCAGCGCATTTGCTGTGGGGTCACGTGCGGTCACTTGCTCCAGCGGGCAGTGGCGGTTACTTGTTGGAGTCACTTGCGGCGCACTTGCGGTGGGGTCACGTGCAGTCACTTGCTCCAGCGGGCAGTGGCGGTTACTTGCTGGAGTCACTTGCAGCGCATTTGCGGTGGGGTCACGTCACGTGTGGTCACTTGCTCCAGCGGGCAGTAGCGGTTACTTGCTGGAGTCACTGGCGGCGCACTTGCGGTGGGGTCACGTGCGGTCACTTGCTCCAGCGGGCAGTGGCGGTTACTTGCTGGATTCACTTGCATTTGCGGTGGGGTCACGTCCGGTCACTTGCTCCAGCGGGCAGCGGCGGTTGCTTGCTGGAGTCATTTGCGGCCACTTGCGGCGCACTTGCGGTGGGGTCACGTGCGGTCACTTGCTCCAGCGGGCAGTGGCGGTTACTTCTGGATTCACTTGCAGCGCATTTGCGGTGGGGTCACGAGCGGTCACTTGCTCCAGCGTGCAAAGGCGGTCGCTTGCGGCAGGTTGCAGCACTGATGTTGGAGAGCAAGCCGTTGCAACCTTCTTGATTTTTAGCCTCTTCTATCTGCACATTACTTGTGAGAGCTGTCTGCAATTCTGCAATTTGGCGAGCTCGGCACATTAAGCAAAATGGAATTCATGGGATTTCTGGCGCAGTAACCAAACTTTCAAGTGCTCAACGAGACTTGCAAGGCCAACCTTCACGTACTTTGACTGACAAGCTTTTGCGTCGCTGCATTTCCCGCAATACATCGTTCAGCCGTCGCGCCTATCACGTCCAACGCAATGATCGTGTCTACATGCACCCACTCCGAACATAAAACAAAGGCTGTGACAAGGAATAACATTTGCAAATCAAAACGCAAAATCAATTCGCGGCACAGCATAGCCATACTTGAAGCCGCACTTCTACGGATTTTTTATTCGTCACAACGCCCGTTTCCTGTGGAATCGTGTTGCGACGCAAGAACATTACGGTGAACCCTTGTGATCATTCCCCTGGTATGTCGTTTGAATGTTGTCAGTGCAGTTGAATTTTTTTGGGCGCTGCCCTGCACCCCCTTAAAAGATCGAAAGTGTTGTTTACACCCAATCTGGCAAAAAGAAATCCTTGATCAACAAATCGAATTCTTGAAGCAAACACACAAAAAGCACGACTCTTGCAAACAATGCTAATGTCTGCTCACTTCAGCATCCCGAAAAGATATGTAAAATAAAAATACAAATATTTAAAAAAACGAACAAACTTCCTCGATCCTGAACACATGGTTACGCAATGGCATTGCTCTGCTGCGAACAGTGTTTGACAAGCGCCGCAACGGCAAAAAAGCATTCAAACATGCTGGCTTTCGCAAGTCAGTAAAAACATCTTCTTTTTGGCTACCATCACGCAACCCTCATGAACCCGCAGCAGGCCATCTGCCACAACGACTCTTCAGAGTCAGGGCAGCCAGGCGCCAAAAAGGGTCACACAGTATGGATTCCGCTTTTAATCATGTCACATGCCGCGTGACTGCAACCAAAATGTTGACATCGTTACAATCAACCATCCATCACTGAGAGTGACCCCCAGCGCAAGCAGAAGTGCAGGACAAAGCCCCAAGCACTGTGATATCGGTCTGAACGCCCTTGCTAACAACAAAGGTGATATCGTTATCCGGCAAACTTTTCTCAACTGCATCTGTCTTTCCATTGACCATAGTCTCCAACAAGAATCGATCACAAACTGCCACAGCCGGCAAATCATCCTCATTCACATGAATTGCCACAAAAGAACACGCTTGCTTACATGTTCATTCATATCTCAAAGCAAAGCAAAGCTTTAATTGAATGGCACACCACTAAAGCAACAATGCCTTCTTTGCCGGTTTTTCGTCGTGATCTGGAGCTTCAGGCACGTGAGCTTCAACAAGACTTTCCTCCAATGCGCTCACCGAATAGCGCCACTTGCAAAGCTCAAAAATACAAAAACATAGCAGCCATAACAAAAATCAATC